TTGAAGCATGAATTTTGTGTAATAACAAGAACAATAACAATAGTTTGCTTTATGGTTCCAGGCACTATGCGATAAACACTTGCCATGCAGTATTCTTATGTCCACTAGCATTGACAGATAAAGAAGCTGAGGAACAGAGAGGTTAAGACATGTACCCTAGGTCACACAGCTAGTATGGGCCTGGGCTTACAACGTAGGAGGCTGACTGCAGAGCCTGGATGTTGATCACCTATGTCTTCCTCATGAGCATCATAAGGATGATCTGTGTCTGCTCAGAAAGCCCTGCTCGCTGCCTTTTTTTTATATATATATTTTTATTTATTTCTAGGAGAGAGAGAGAGAGACAGTGTGAGCAGGGGAGGGTCAGAGAGAGAGGGAGCCACAGACTGAGATAGGCTCCAGGCTCTGAGCTGGCAGTCAGCACAGAGCCCGACGCGGGGCTCAAACCCACGAACCACGAGATCATGACCTAAGCGAAAGTCGGACGCTTAACCGACTAAGCCACCCAGGCGCCCCTTTGCTCGCTGTGTTTAACGTGCAGGCCTTACCTGTCCCCCACGGGCCCGTTCCAGCTGCGGGTCTCTGCGCATTTTGCGGGCTCTGTGGGAGTGGGCACCCTGCACCACGGCCCCCCAGCGGGAAAGTGAACACCACCGCTGCCTCGCTCTTGAGCAGGGTCGCTCTGAGATGTGTGTTCTACCCTGACTCCAGGAGTGCGGCTCTGGGGAGAAGGGGCGACCCACTGGTAATGTCCCTGGAGTCGGGTTCTTGGGCCCAACAATAGAAACGAGGTTGGACCCCAAAACCAAAGGCACAGGCAAGGCTCTTTTGGGGCTGAGCTTGAGTTGGAGGGAGACAAACCACCAACCGAGACCGGTTAGGCCGGACCCTCCCAGCAAAGAGGAGGCCCTGCCTGGGGGGAGAAAGTGCCTGCTTCCCGGATGCTAGTGAGCGAAAGGGGAAAAAAATGCCTCGCCCTGATGATTGGTTGGAAGGAGCTCGTCCTGATGGGTCGCTATTGGCAGATGACTCAGGTGGCTCCTGGGCACTTTTGGAGCGGAGTCTGCGTGTCTGGGAGCGGAGTCTCCATGGCAAATCCAAGGTTGGGTGCAGGGCTGCGTCCTGCTTCTGCTCGCTGACAAAGTAGTTTACCAGTGACAGCTGACCGGAGCGCCCGGACGGCGAGGCGGTTAAGATTCCTACTTCCGCTAAGGTCATGATCTCAGGGCTCGTGAGTGAGTTCGAGCCCTGCACTGGGCTCCGCAGGGGGTTTTCTCTCTCCCTGCCCCTCCCCGAGTGATGCTTTCTCCAAAACAAAACAAAACAAAACAAAACAAAACAAAACAAAACAAAACAAAACAAAACCCAGCTAACAGAAAGCGCCCAGGTGCATATTCTGTTTCGATGGTCCCTAATTGTCTCAATGACTGGCTTGATTCCGCCCCTGTTTGCCTGTCTTTCCTTCTCTGTATCACATCCCTGCTTCCTTACCCTATGGCCTTCAGATCTGGAACAAACGGTTTGCATTGCCTTCTTTGATTCTGGAGCACCCAGGCCAAGACAGGCTGCATGGTGTTGTGTTTTATAAGGTCCCTCGTCTATTCAATCGACCTCATTTGGGCAGATTTTTAGGATTTCCAGTTTTTCTTGCTATTATAAATAATGTTGTTGTGACTGTTCTGCCATTGTTGTTTTTAGACCAGGGCTCCTGCCTCCAAGACCTCACCTGTCTGTCCTGTGTCTGGGCCTGGCCAAGGCCAGCAGCAGTGTGGAAAGTGGTCCCCCACATGTAGACCAGGCCTGGCTGGGTCCCAGAGTCTGTATCTTCCCTTTGAGGTTGTTAACAATGATGAAAAAAGCCAGTCTAGGTGATACAAACAAACTTTAGTTAACACTTCATGCAGAGGGCAGTGTTCCTTTCCAAAGATCCAGAGAATTGCAAAACGGGGCAAAAGACAGGAAGCTTTTATGGGATGAAGAATAAGGCAAAGGAAGGGAACAATGGGAAGTGGATAAAGAGCAGGGAAATAAGCACAGACCCCAGAGCTGGCTTGGGCTGTAGGGACTGGCCGACTGGAAGTACTGTGGGTCTGGTCAACATGTGCGTCTACAGGGACCCAGATGTTATCTGCTTCGTTTTGCCGACAGGAAACCCGGCAGGGGGAGTGGCTCCATCTTGGGCCTAGAAAGTTGCTTCAATGGGGTGCACTTGTTTCCTGTATCCTATGTGGGGTTCACCTCATGAAGAGCTCAGGGGTTCATGCTTATGGGCTGGTCTGGGACCACATGGCTGGGCCCTGGTGTTAGGAGGATGGCCACCTTGCTAACTCATGGGATTCCATTCATGGGATCGCAGGGTCTGCTGAATAGTGCTGACACACTGATTTCAGGTGAGTCGATTTTTAAATGGATGAGGCTCCCTAAAATATATTTTCTCCTGGTTCCCACACACCTGAAGGGAAGTATTCTCGTATGTGGTCCTATGCACACTTGGAGTCGAGTACCAATAATTCAGAATTGTCCAGAGGTTTGAGACCTGATCTGAGCCCTGCAATCCATTCAGCTTTTCGCTCTGCATATCAAGACTTACCTGCTCATTGAATGCATGAGCACGTTGTTTCGTGGGGCAAGGGTATACAACATGATTGTCCTTAAATCTTTGGAAAAAGTTTAAGAAGCACAAGAAATTATAGGTGAGCATCCTGACTTGAAATGAATACCAAGAGTGTTTTCAAACTCATAAAATGCAGCATGGGCCCTGAAATGTGTTAGACAGCAGACCTGAACACCCTGGACACCACAGGGCATGGTGGTGTGCGGGCAAATCATCCTGAATCAGTGAAAACCTTGTTGTAAACTTCTCATTATAAAGCTTCTTTTTACCTAATGTAAAGGTATTGTCTTCAGATTGCAAAGTCAGTTATTTAAAAAAAATATGAACCTAAGATACATCACCTCTGCTCACATCAAATTTTAGAGAGAGATTGAATGTTGATGTTAGAAACTCTGATTTTAGATTCCTAAGTTCATTCAAACAGCCTCACTCTTCTGGTACACTGATTATTTTATGAAAAGTAAGTAAGTTTGAATGTATAAGATCATTTTATGTCATAAAGATGATAGTTGATAGAATTGCTTTTTTCAGAGTCCAAAAGTCATTTTCCTAACCATACAGGGCCCAGTTACAGTGTGTCCAAGGGGCTGGGTCGTCAGGCTGGGAGCTTGGTGATGGGATTTCCTGAGCCAAAGGCTGGGGTACATGGTGGATGGAAAACGTAACTGGTGAGCCAATATCCCTGCCCTCATAGTGTTAATCTCTTACTGGAGAGATGAACAATAAATGGATGAGCAAAGAGTTGAAAAATATGAAATGCTAAGATGCCAGGAATGAAATGGATGGGCTAATGAGGGCAGCAGTGGATTGGAGACCCTACTTCACTGGGTTGGAGTGGGGGAAGAGCTGGGGGTCAAGGAAGCAGCTGAGGAGGTGGTGGTTTAGGGGAGATCCAGGTCATGTGGAAATCTAGAGAAGGAGTAGTCCAGAGGGAAAGCCAAGCCAAGGAAGAGCTGCAGGGCTGGCTGGGAAGTCATGAGTGTGGGGTGCAAGGGAATTAGGGCCATACCCTAGAAGGTCTGGAGGGAGTTCGAGGTTTACTTTACATGCAGTGGGAAGGCAAAGAAGGTTTCTTAAAACTGGGGCAGTGCCACGGTCTGAATTCTGTTTCCATGTCACTCGGGTTGTCCTGTGGAGAGACGCGTGGGGGAAGGGAAGAGGAAGCTAGAGAGCAGTTTAGGGGCTCTCTGGTGGCAGCGAGGGGGACTGTGAAGAAGTGACAGAAGTCACACCTAAACTGACAGAAAGAAGAATGTCAAGGATGACTTCAGGATTCTGGCTAGATTTAAATGGGTAGTTTGGGAAGATTGAAAGGATTACATTTTGGAGGAAAAGCAATAAGTCCATTTCAGATATTTTGCTTTTTAAACATGGAGGTAGCATTACATCCAAGAAGGTGTCAAGGAGGCATCTGGAAGTTAGTGAGGTCTGTGCTGAGACATACAAATGGGGCAATTTGGACCCATGATATTTACAGTTTCAGTCCTAGGGGGAACCATGAGTATAGGTACTGGGACAAGGGACCCTGGGACAGAGAAGGGAGCAACATCATGGGGGTGGGGAGCAAGGGTGTGCGCTCCTCTGACGTCAGTCTTTCCTATTCCAGATCAAAGAGCTATGAGCCTCAAAGAGCTATGAGCCTCAAAACTGCTTGTAGGGGGCAGTGACTCAATGTCCACTCAGTGCATCAAGTCGTCTAAACGGGGGACAGATAACAAGGGAGCTGAGGGTTTCTCATCTTTGTACTGGAAATGTTCCCACTGTGGGTTCGGGGGAAGAACTGAGCTCATGAAACTTCTTTACCTAAAATAAGAGGTGAACTTTTCATTCATGACAAGTCAGATTGCATAAAAATAAATTAATCTGGAGAGCCTACTTCCAAATTAAGAAATAGATATTAGGTAAAAGCAGCTAAAAACAGAAAGGTTTTCCACAAAAAGGGCAGAACAACCATTCTCCCTATGAAAATTTTAAAAAGATCTGGCAGACTTTTCCACTCTTAATTTGTGCCACTAACATAATGGCAATGAGACTTTGATTTTTCTTTCTTGCTTTGTTTTGCAAGTTGCTTGCTTTGCTAAATAGCTCAAGATTCGTAAATGTCACTGACAGAATAAAAGTAGTACAAGAACTATGATCAGTTTGTGTGGTGTGTGCGCGTGCATGGAATAATTCAAATTTATTGTATGGCTTAAATTCAGGTTTAAAAAGGCAATGTTCCTCTTTCTTATTTTTGTAATTATTTGATCATTTGTGCTTTTATTATTAGAATCTGCTCAAACTCTAACTTTCCAGGCTTCTGTTAGCCCACGTGAACATGAGTTGGTGTTAGAAGACACTGCTTAGGAATCAACTACCCCTCTGCCTTTTAAATCTTCCTTCTTAGGGTCAACCAGGACCATCAGGACCACAGGGTCCTATTGGACCCCTGGGACTGCCAGGACCCATTGGAATTCCAGGAGAGAAAGGGATGAGAGGTGACAGTGGCCCTCCTGGAGCAGCAGGTGACAAAGGTGATAAGGTAAGCCTCTTCTTAAGTGAGGGAGTCTTACTCTCCACTCACTGGCACTACTCTGCCAGATTTTTTATAATCACAAGTACTGTCTACCAGGACCTTATAATAAATGAAGTCTGACTCCTTTTCCATAATCATCCCTCGTTCCCTAACTCCTTTCCAGAGGAGCGTGTCTTTCTAGACTTTTCTATGTACTTAAATACCTGAGTGTATCCAATGAAGGGTTGTATTCTTTCATGGCTTTTTAAACTAAATGACATATTTGTCATGCTGAGCTTTTCTGTTTTTTTTTTTTTACTCAACCATATGGCTTACAGATCACTCTTTATCAATTTATGTAGATTAAACTTATTCTCTGAAAAACACTGTACAAAATGCCTTACTATAGATAAAACTATGGTTTACTCCCTGTTGATGTAACTTTGAGGTCTTGTCCCAATTTTGTGTCATCCTAGTGTGCAGAAACAATCCTGTAAATTACCCATGCTTACATTTAAGAATTTATTTCTCAAGGATAGGCAGACTCCTAGAAGTTGAATTTCCGGCTTATAGGGTAGTGAACATTTTCTTTGAATTGATGCAGCTAAGTTGGCTTCCTAAGTACAAAAACAAAAGTACAAAAGGTTGGTTTTTAATTGTTGGCATTTAAATTCATTACTGTAAAAAATAAGTGACAATGACTGCTAAAAGTCTTTTAGAAATGATGTCATTAATTATTTATGTTTTCAAGTAAATCCATCTGTTAATCCAGTACTTGATCTTTGCTTTGTTAATACTTTTATATTTTTGTTTTCTGGGATTTTAGGGTCCAACTGGTGTTCCAGGATTTCCAGGTTTGGATGGCATACCTGTAAGTGTCCCTCAATTTTCTCCATTTTTTAAAAAATGAAGCTCACCAAAGCCCTTAAAATCACATGATACATACATATATATTTACATGACAAACTCTTCTTTATTTTCTCCTGATAGTGAAAGGCAAGGTGCTTGCATTCCAATTTTGTGTAATAACCTGGGGACTAAAAGACTTTACTTGAAAAGCGAGGTTTTCAGACAGATTAGAGAAAAGCATTCCACAATATAAGCTATATATACCTGTCATGTTCTGGAAATAAATGTATACTCACAACACAAGTTTTTACTTGCTGGTTAGTTTTGACAGTAGAAGTGGGCTTAAAACTCTCACTTCTAATATGAAAATGAAATGAAAGAAGGAAGAGTTATTTCAGAAGCTTTATAATCTATTAGAGAGTATTTCTAAGGATTTTAAGGAAGATGCTCTCCTAAATTTCTCAGAATATTTTAAACTAAATTTTTCACCAGGGCTATATTAAAATGTATCTATATATTTTTACTATGCTACACAGTACTTGTGAGTGGGAAGGAAGTTTCATGAATTAAATAATACGTGATTCATAAATGCCATAATTTGGGTACCCATGTTGGGTAAACTTTGTGTTGCAGTATTCTTGCAAAAATGCTTCACGTACAATCTTGTTTCTTACAGGGGCACCCAGGGCCTCCTGGATCCAGAGGCAAGCCTGGCATGCATGGCTACAATGGCTCAAGAGGTGATCCAGGGTTTCCCGGAGAAAGAGGAGTTCCTGGACCAAGAGGCCCCCCAGTAAGACACCCCCCCCCCAGTTCATCCTAAAGGGAATCTTAAGTGAAGGGCTCTACAGCGGGCCCAAGCTTGATGTGCTCAAGAAACAGAATTAGTACAAGTGTGCCTGGAGCATGGTGAACAGATGGGGGTGGCTGGAGGCTGAGCACAGAGACGTGTGCAGGATCTCAAGCTCTTGGGCCTTGCAGACAGTGGGAAGAGGCTAGATTTTCTTTTCCAGGCCATGGGAAGGCACTGGAGGATGATCAGGAAGGAAGCAGTATGAGCTGATTGATGTTCCATTAAGATACTGTAGACTGCTGGGCAGAGAATGGATAGTAAGGGAAGGAGCAGGGAGGTCAGTTAGCAAAGCTTGTATTGTTTATCCTTCAGGGTCCACCGCAGATTTGTAAACCCTCTAGGTATTTCGAACAGCAAGGGATTTAATAGAGGGAATTTGGCACATATTGGAAAGCTGGGGCAGTGGAATGCAGGGGCCACTGGAAGACTACCATTTCAAAGGCTCACACTTAGCTGAGATTCACAAGTCAGGAGGCTGCTCCTTGGCATAACCACTGCCTCCCACCCCATGTTGAGACACCAGCAAACAAACACTCAAGCTCCTAACCTTCCCTGCTTGGTAGTAACAACAGTTCCAGGAAGAGGATGTCTTCCTCACTCCTGCCTTCCGTATCTTATAAGTACTTCTTCTGGATGGACCATAGGTCACATCCAGCTACAAAGGGGTCTGGGAAATGTAGTTTTAGCTTTCTCATCCCCATAATGCAGTAAGATAAATGGAAGGCATTTGGAATGGATGTTCAGAAACAGTTCACAATATCTAACACTTGAGGAAAGTTTACTGCTTTTAGGTATTTTTTAATTTTAAATTTTGGACCTTTATTTAAACATATCTTAGCAAGCACTACTCTTTCCTCTACCCCTGATATTCTCTTTCTGTCTCTTTACCTTTTTCTCACATAAAGACTGGAGGTGATTTGCCCTTTTAAAACTGATTTTCTATGACTTTTTCAACCTTTCCACTTCCCTAAAAATACCATTTCCCAAGATTCCTGCTAGAAAGTTTTCCTATCACCACCATAATCATCCTCCTTTCTCCTCATGAGTTTTCCATGTGCTCCCAATTCTAGGAGAACTGATTAGAATATAGAACTGAGAAACAATTTCTGTATTCACATCTTTCTTTAGTACCAGTAGGAACAACAGCTGTCTTCTGTAGTTCAGCTTCTCAGCCACCTTTTGTTTTCAAACTCAACCATTTGAAGGCGCAAGCATGGTCTGGTGAATGCATGTTTCTTCAGATCTTCAGATTGGATCAAACCCCAATCTGCTGAGTGTCCATGAATGTTCAGAAGAGGAATTCTCGATTTTGGCTTTCACAAAGCATGCGTAGTGACCACAGTACAGAAGTGTGTCGTCATCGTGGTTTTGCAAAGCAGCTTTCTTACCCTTGACCCATTTCATTTATCGTCAGTCCTCACTCTGCCCAGTAGTGTGAGATGTTAAGAATGGCCGTGCCTGCTGACGCCAGCAACTTTAACATCCAATGGGAAAAATGAAAGTTGTTCCATGACCTTCAATACATCTTGTTAAAATATTAAAAACTCTCTTAATGTTTAGTTAGCAATACATAAAGTAAAAACCAAACATTGATTTAGTACATTGCCATTTAAAATGTACACATTGAGAATCGAAGTGTTTCAGTTCTTTGTAAAAACCTATCAAGAGTGTTTTGAACCATGCCTTCCTCTCTCCCCATGTAACATATGATATAAAGTGAATACCTTTTCTGGGGTTTGGTGAGTTGTCTTACTCTTTTCTGGGTTTGGATCTGCTTCTAGTGGTACGAACCGAATTGAAGAGTCCTTTCACCACTAAGGTCTTCTGCCTGTGCCATTTCCTCTGGCAATCTTCAACCTCTTTGTCTCAGCCATTTATTTCCCTTTGTAGTGTTGATAACTGTGTCTTCATGGAGTCCCTCTGGCTCAAGAGTCTCCACATTCCTGTGATCGCTCAGTTATTTCTTCTATAACTCTACAGATGTTCTGTTGGAATTTGTCCGCCAGCTTTATCATTTTTCATTTCTTCACTTCACTTTCATCTTTGATGCCCAACTGCCTCTTCCAGTGGGGTCATTTTCATGAAATATCATTTGGGTTGATCACTGGGAGATAAGGAGGCAACACAAGTACATTCTTTGCTAGTGTGTATGTGTGTGTGTGTGCATGTGTGTGTGTGTGTGTGTGTGTGTGTGCACGTGCCCGTGCATGCTAAAAGGTGTACAATGACCAATCACTGACAGACTGAAAGGGATGTGGGACTAAGAGTCATGATTTGCACCTGTTACTTACAGAGGTTTATGGACCAATGAACTAGCAGCAGTTTCCGACTAGTTGGTCAACATGCAGTTAGTTGGTCAATAAGGTGGTAACTGAAATTTGAACCGTTTTGTTGGAGGATTGGTGCTATTGAACTTAACTGTGGAACTAAAATGTGTGCATATCGGAACTGTGTGAAGCAGGGACCGTCTGTATAGGCCAATCTGATTCCTTAAGGAAAGTGGTGGCTGTAACTTACCATAAAAGCCTGAAGTATCACCCACTGGAAGCGAGGTCAGAACTTTTCTAGGAGGGATTAACTTTGAAATCTGCATGTCCTTTGTAGGAGCTTGATATATGGTAGAATTCTTATGTGGTTACCAAATTAAGATATATTAAGATATTCAGTAGGAAAACTTTGGGATAAAAGAATACATTGAATTATTTTATTCACTTTTTAAAAATACTCTAAGTGAACTTGCATCCACCTACAGAAACGTTCTAAAAGGAAGATGTTATGTTTTTAAAAGTTAATCTTACAAAAGGATACAGAGGCTCTGTTTTGAATAGGACAACTGAAATGGATACAATCGTTAAAAAACTATCTCTGGCACCCAATTATTAACTGACAATTGCAAAATTGTTTGCTTTTTTGTAATTGTAAGAATATCTTTGCATCATTATGTTTGAGGGAAAATGCAATTTTCCTGCTGAATAATTAGTGAATGGCTATGTATATTATTATCTAATACACAGCCTGTATACATTATATATTTATATGATGTATATATACTGTAAATATATTAATAGATACTTTGTCTTTGGCTTAATAGACCTTAACTGAATGTTGAATAAATATGTATGAGAACCTTAGGATGATAGCAATAATGAAGAGAATAAAGAAATGTCCTCTAGTGAAACATGACCATAATGGTATTTTACTGGTGAGTAATATTTCATAAAAAAAGAAAATACTAAAATGGTAATATGCTTTTTCCCCTTCTTAAGTGAATATTTTACTTTCAGGGTCTTCCTGGGGAATATGGAGAGAAAGGAAATTCCGTGTTCATTTTAGGTGCCATTAAAGGAATTCAGGTAAGTTTTATGATCATAGTGAGTTTAAAATCTTATTTTTCCACTAGGTAAGCCCATCCAGGAAACACATAGACATATCTCTTTTGAAATGTTCCTGAGCACACTGTTTTTAATCATTATCCTGACTCTCTTGATGGTATCATACTTCTTGTGTGAAGACATTTGGCTTTAATTGCTTTGGCTATAAAATTCTAGTACCTCCCAATCATTCTTGCAAAGTGCAACAGGGACATTTATTTCTGGGTTTCTCAATCTTGGCACTGCTGGCATCTGGGGTCACATAATCATTCATTGTGGGTGTCAACTCTGTGCATTCTAAGATGTTGAACAGCATCCATGGCCTCTACCCGTTAAATGCAGGTAGCATCCCCCCACCTAAATAATATCCTCAGATATACCAGATGTGCCCTTGGAAGAAAGATCACCCTAGATGAGAAGCACTGAGTTATTTGTAGTTAAAATGTTGTAATCTTAACACCTGCCATCCGGTATAAAAGGAATCACTGCTGTTGAACGTGAAAATTATGGAAACCTTACAGCACTGTCCTTGGTAAATTAAATGTTTTTGTGTTTTCATACACAATGGTATATAAACTTTCAGGAATAAACTCTTGAATGACCGTCTGTATCTCTAATATGAGTACCATGCATGAACTAAGCAGAAGATCAGTAGATGCAAATCAAGAAGGAAAATACAGTACATTTCCAAGACATGGCCATTTCTCTTAAGGAAGAATATTCTACAACACTTAGGTAAAACTTAAATTTCTTGTAGTAGACTCTAAGTTTCATGCCAACCAGGATAGGCACACCTGAGGGGTGATTCCATTCGTGAGCTCACAGTATTCATTTGTAGCCTCTGAGCCTATACACGCTTGTTACACAGCGACACTGTACTTTTGTTTATAGCTTAAATGACTATTAAGAGACTTAGTAAGAGGAAAGGCACTCTAGGAGCCAGTATAGTATACTGGAAGGAGTAAACTGATCCTTACCTACCACTGTGATTTTGAGCAACCCCCTTAACCTCTCTGAGCCTCAGTTTCCTTATTTGTGAAGGAAAATGAAAATACTGTCTACTGTCCTCTCAGTGCTGATGATCCGTTTTAATGGTTTTTTAAATGTTTATTTATATTTGAGAGAGAGACAGAGACAGAGCTGAGCAGGAAGGGCAGAGAGAGGGAGACACAGAATCCAAAGCAGGCTTCAGGCTCTGAGCTGTCAGCACAGAGCCCGATGTGGGGCTCAAACACACAAACTGCGAGATCATGACCTGAGCTGAAGTCAGATGCTTCACCAACTGAGCCACCCAGGCAACCCCCCCCGCATTGTAATAATTTATATTGCAGCACATTGTAAACTGTAATGCACTGTACAGTAGGAGTCATGATACGATTTGCAATAGTGTAAGAGAAAGAATGTGAGATAGAAGAGGAGATGGATATAGAGAATTCCTCATCTTAAAGAGAGATAGATGATAATAAAAATGGTTTCCAGATCAATAACCTTGGAGAAACAATATTTTTAAGAGCCCATAGCCACTTCACAGCCATTTGGATGGTTATTTTAAAACAAAACAAAACACTCTAAGGTGTCTGGGTGGTTCAGTCGATTAAGTGTCCTACTTTGGCTTAAGTCATGATCTCAAGTTAGACAGCTCTGCTGTTGGTGCAGAGCCTGCTTTGGATCCTAGGTGCCCCTCCTCCCCCCACTTCTCTCTGTCCTTCTCTGGATCACATTCTCTCCCTCTTGAAAATAAATAAAACTTTAAAGGAAACCCAGAAAATCTGAAGTGTTGATAATTATGGGGAGAAGTTGGAACTCTTATGTATGGCTGGTGGGACTGGAGAGTGTGTAGCTGTTCTGAAAAACAGTACGAAGGCTCCTCAAAAAATTAAATGTAGAATTACCTTATGATCCAGCAATTGCATTTCCAGCTGTATACCCAAAGGAAGTGAAAGCAGGGGCTCAAACAGATATTTGTACACCCATATTCCTACTCACTCAGGATAGCCTAAAGGTGGAAGCAATCCAAGGGCCCATTGTTGGATGAACGGATAAACAGAATGTGATCTCTACATACAATACGGTATTATTCAGCCTTAAAAAGGACAGGAATTCTGACACATGCAACAATGGGGATGAACCCTGAGGTCATTATGCTAAGTAAAGTAAGCCAGTCACAAAAGGACATACAATGTATGGTTTTCCTTATAATGAGGTTCCTAGAGTAGTCAGAGTCACAGAGACCAAGAGTAGCATGAATGGTGCCTGCCAGGAGCTGGGGGGAGGGGGGTGTATTGAATGGCTGCAGTTTCCATTGGGCAAGATGAGAAGTTCTAGAGATGGTTGCACAATAGTGTGAATATACTTAATGCCACAGAACTGTACTCTTAAAAATGGCTAAAATGTTAGCCGTTACCTTCTGTATACTTTATCATATATTATACATTAAAGATGAAGCCATATTCAAAAGAATAGAGACTCTTTGCATTTTTAAAGCATGTAGTCTCAGACTGACTGTCTTAAGCAGTTGGTCACCCCGAGGCAGGTCTGAGAGAACTTCCACACGAATTCCCAAACTCACTCGAGAGCGATCAAAAGGAGCAAGGTGTCCATTAAGGGAGGCAAATTCTGACAGTTAGACCAGAGAGAGTTAAACTGTGGTAAAATGGGACCATTGGATTGAGAATTTCGATTGTAAATGGAAAGATGAAAATCTCATCCTGACACCGTGTCATCACGACCCCAGCAACCTTTGCCTGGTTTTGGCTGAGTCGAAGCAGGACTCCAGGCCTGGGAATGGACACAGAAAGTTCTCTTGGGAGAGCCCCCCATGGTGGTCTTGTCAACGGTGAAAAATTGAGCAGTCTGCACAGACAGCCCAGATAACTCCCATGAGTTTTCCTCCCTTCGCGTCACGTGTGTTTGGGGGAAGTGGTGCGGCTCTTCTAAAGCAATGCGACGTTACCATTGCAGGGCGACAGAGGGGCCCCAGGACCTCCCGGCTTGCCGGTAAGTCTCCCCGGCCGGCGGGCCGAGTGCTTCTCCTTGCTCCTCACACCCTTTGTATCCTGGCAGGACAGGCTGCATAATTTTCAGGCCCACCCGCTGCAAAGTGAAAGCGTAGGTCCCTTGTTAAAAAATGATTAAGAATTTCATGGCGGTGACACCAGAGTGTTGTATCAAGCGTGAGCCCCCGTGTGACCACATAGGTCCCAGGCCCGCGAACGATCCTGGAGGCCCACCGAGCTGCCGCTTACGTCCCTCTTCTATTTTTTTAATGATCATTTGGCATTACTCAGGGGCATATTTGGGAAGGTGAATGTCCCTCTAGACTACCTAAATAATACGTGTCAAGTGCAAATGACTTTGCTCTATACCATTCCGCCCGCTCAGTAACTGTGCATTGCATTCAGTGTTGTGCCCCATCTTTATCTCCCTGAAGTTTGTAAATCAATGATTGTATTAGTTTTTGCAGTTAATCATTCAGTGTCCACAAGATTAAAATGGACACCAATTGTGCCTCCAAATGATTGACCTGTTATTTTGCTTGGCAACTTCTGGCTGTAGACAGGATTGTGTTCCCACATTGCTTTCCTCACTGCCCCCAAATCTCAGTCTGACGTAACCAGTGAGATACCTTCATGTCAGTGTCAAAATAAATACCAGTTTTTTATCTTCTGGAGACAAATGATTGCTTGTACACTCGCAAATAATTTGACACGGGCTGAGTTGGTGGGAGAACAGAGAGTCTCTCCCCACACTTCTAGGAATGCACAGCTATAGCCCTTCCTTGTGAATGTATGTAGAATTATGCTATAAAGTACATGGCACCGAAAATTGTTTGTGACTGAATCACCTTAATCCTGAATTGGGGGCACTTCTATTCACTTTGATCCGATAGGGCATGTCTTAAAAATATATTAAAGAGTATAAATACATTCATAGTGTAATATACATTATTATTAGCTAATATGAATATTTTATTATTTTTATTTTTTTTAATGTTTTATTTATTTCTGAGAGAGAGACAGCGTGAGCAAGGGAGGGTCAGAGAGAGAGGGAGTCACAGACTCCGAAACAGGCTACAGGCTCTGAGCTAGCTGTCAGCACAGAGCCCGACGCGGGGCTCGAACCCATGAACCATGAAATCATGACCTGAGCCGAAGTCGGACGCTTAACCGACTGAGCCACCCAGGCGCCCCTAGTATGAATATTTTAAAAAGCATCTTGATGTATATAATGTTATAACATATGTAGAATTTAGGAGTAGCTGGTAATAAGTTTTCTTTGTTCTCTACTTTTACCATTACGAGATTTATGTATAAACAAGTAGATGGATCTCTGGGTCTTAATTTAATCCTCAATGTAAGAGTTGGTCACACCTGTCAGACTGTTGCTGTCATGTAGCTATGTAGCTCTGTGACCCCTGCCTTTTTAAAATATTTATTTTTGAGAAAGAGAGCATGCACATGTGTGCACACACATGCATGGTTCACGGGCCGAGAGAGAGGGAGACACAGAATCTGAAGCAGGTTCCAGGCTCTGAGCTGTCAGCACAGAACCCAACACAGAGCTTTTAATTTACAAGCCGTGAGATCATGATCTGAGCCAAAGCTGGATGCTTAACCAACTGAGCACCCCTAGGCGCCCCGCTCTGTGACCTTTTAATGGCATGTCAGCTGCTGTGAGCTATCCCTGCTATAGGGCAGATGTGTCTGGGACTGTGATTTCTTTGGACGTTTTTAATCCACCTTGGATTACATGCAGCTCTTGCTGTGAACCATGATTTTGAATTTGGGTAACTAATGCACTGATTCCTCTCATGTTTAGGGACCCAGGGGTGCAAGGGGACCAGCGGGCCCAATGGGACATCCGGGCGACCCTGGGTTAGCGGTAAGTACAGCTCTGCTCATTCTGGCCCTGAAAAACCCAGACTGGATGTTTAAATCAAGCAAAAGAAAACAAAACAAAACAAAAGGCAAATTGCAGCCTTGGGTTGGGCAGGCACAAGTGGGCTGTTTGAGAAGTTACCACCAGATGAATCTGCATTACCCAGCCTCTCCCCCGCCCCCCAAGTGTGAGTTTGTTTTGAAGCAGGGATCCTTGGGAAACAAGCCATAAGAGGAAACAGCCAGCGGGGTTTTAAAGTTTGGGGGTTTCCTTGAGAACTTGTTTGGAGGTTCTAGCAGGGCAGCGCAGCTATTCATATACCCTTGACGGAAGAACGGTCCTCCTCTATCGGGGAAGGTCATCCTCTTTGACCAAGCGCGCAGCTTTGGGAGGGATGCACATGGAGCGGTGAGGGAGGAAGTGGACACCCGCCTAGCCAGCCAGATCAGCCGAATCAACCTTGGCGATCAATGGGGTGACAGATGTCACAGCCAGATCGCCCTCACATCCAAGTTCGGGGGTTTCCTAAAGAGCACCTTGAGGGAGCCCAACGCAGACACATGGTGATTTCTGTGACTGATACTTGACTTGTGCATTTTTGCCATTGATTTAGGGTGCTCCGGGCCATCCTGGGAGACCAGGCTTGAAGGTGGGTGGTCACGAGGAAGGTACGAATGGAGACTGTCTTTGTATAATGAGATAAGTGACCACAGAGACTTGTCAGAATTATGTCTTTTTCTTATTAGACTTAGACTTCCCCAAATGTTTAATAAGCTTCAATTAATTGCTTAACCAGAAGTCTTACTTGCTTATAATTACCTTTTAAATATTCAAAAGCAATTACTCTTTTTTTTTTTTTTTTTTTTTTGTTCTTTTCTTTCCCAGGGTAATCCTGGCGTGGGAGTGAAGGGGCAAATGGGAGACCCGGTAAGAATCCCCTTTTGCACGGAGGAGCAGATGTTAAAACGTATGTGCTGCCGGGGGCAGAGGGCTATTCTGATTATCACTTAAATCGTGTTGATTATCCAGTCACTGCCCAATTTTATGGCTCAGATGCTTTTTTTCCTGAATTATTACGGCACCATTGCCCTTGACTGTAAAATGACAGTCCCAACAAAATTTACCACTAAAGTCAAGTTAATGTATATGACACATTTTACCCCAGCAAAGAGAGTGACGTTTCTGAGAATTTAGTATATCCAGCGTAATAGTTTAATTACTGATTTGCTTGGCTTAACTTCACAAATTTCCTCAGAATCCTTAACTCCACAGTTCAATAGAAATATAAACACCTAGAACCAAAAGCATTTAGCAACACAGCCTCCCACTCTCTCCTGCCTCACACCTGTCTTCACCATCCTTCACCCCTTCCTCCCTCACATCCCCAGTCCTTTCTCCTGAGGCATGAAACTTAGCAAAGATAAGCTTTAGAAAGGTATTTTAAGATGGAAGCTCATCTGGAAACAATCTGAATGTCTAACAGTTGGTAAGTGGCTCATTCCACAACTGTGAGCAAGTGGATACTGAGCGTCCGCTCTGCCAGGCTAAGATCATGCTGGATGAGGGGATTTAGCAAGACTGACCTGATCCCCGCCCTCAGGGAGTCCCAGTGTGGTTGGGTAAGTTACTGTATGGCTGTTTAACAAAATGACTCCATTGCCCAAAATAACCTGGAACACTTCATGATGCGCAGACATGCCTATGACATGATGGTGATCAGAAAGTACAGGTTACTAAAGTAAAAGGTCAATTAAAACAACACAACAAGAGTGCCTGGGTGGCTCAGTCCGTAAAGCGCCCGACTTGGGTTCAGGTAATGATCTCAGAGTCTGTGGGTTTGAGCCCCGCATGGGGCTCTGTGCTGACAGCACGGAGTCTGCTTCAGATTCTGTGTCTCCCTCTCTCTTTCTGCCCTCCCCCTCCATGCTCTGTCTCTCTCTCAAAAATAAATAAACCTATGGGGTGCCTAGGTGGCTTAGTTGGTTAAGCGTCCGACTTTCGCTTAGGTCATGATCTCACGGTTCGTGGGTTCGAGCCCTGCGTCGGGCTCTGTGCTGACTGCCAGCTCAGAGCCTGGAGCCGGTTTCAGTCTGTGACTCCCTCTCTCTCTGACCCTCCCCTGCTCACGCAGTCTCTCTGTCTCCTAGAAATAAATAAACATTAAAAATAAAAAATAAAAATAAACCTTAAAATAAGAATAAGCCTGGTTATATTTACCAATATGTGTTACTCCCTTGCTTATGTATTGTTTAGACATTTGTTCAATCATTCATGCACAGAACATAAATGCTTCAGAGCAGCTGCTGTAATAACACTGTTAAGTACTGGGTACACCCAGAAAAATAAGCCGAGGTCCCTAATATGATTCTTCTATAGTTTCCAAGTGTAGGTAGGGATTGAAGTATTGGCTCCCTTATTTCATTTAAATTGGAAATAGTGTTCTTCTTCTCCAAACCCAACAAAAATATTAATGGCTTAATAGTTACATATTTGAGAATCTTCTCTGTTCCACTCAGTATAGTAAGTACTAAGCATTTTAAGTGCATTATCTAATACTTAGAAGTAGACAGCATTATAACTAACCCCCATTTCACAGAGAAGGGAGGTGAGATTCAGAGGAATCAAGGAAACAACGGCTAGGTAGGAGATTTTAAGGAACTTGTCCAAAATGACAGTCAGTAAGGGCCTAGTTTGCAGACCTAGGTGACTAGCTCTATCACCTGCTACTAACTATGTCTAAGTGAGAATAATAGAAATATTCAGACAAGTGACCAAAAAAACAATTATCTGCTAATAAAGGTGAGAATTTTTGGTTATATTATGGCAAACCCAATTCAAGGGACATTTTATTCCCAAGAGAATAACATTTCTAATGTCATAAATGACAACTCTTGGCTAATTATTTTATACAGAGATTTTAAACATAGTGTAGAAAACAAATTAGAAATAACTTAAATCTAACTAGAGTAGGATGGCTTAATAAATAATAGTATATCTTATGATCTATTATTGTATAGACACTAAAAATAAGGTTTTTGAAGAATTTGTAGTAAAACTGGAAAATGTGCAAAAAATAGTATTCCAAAAGAAAAATATAAAAATATTTTAAAACTTAAAACTTTAACAAAATATAATAATATAAACCATATTGTGTATTTTAAATTGTTTTTATATTTTGTATAGCATTTTGATTATATTATATTTTAAGTTGTATATAATGCATCATTTGATCACATACATGTATCATGTATATACATAGTTACATTATTCATATACAGATATGTGTATAGATACATACACCCAAGCAGACACACCACAAAGAACTAAACCAAAGTTTTAATAGAGATCTCTGATAAAAGGATTATGAATCACTTATCCTTTTAAAATTTAGTTTTTTAATATTAATTTTATTTTGATTTTGACTTTGATTTTAAGTAGGCCCCATGCCCAGCATGGAGCCCAACATAGGGCTTGAACTCACGAACCTGAGATCAAGACCTGAACTGGGATTGACTGAGCCACTGAGCCACCCACGTGCCCCTAGTTTCTTTGTTTTTTCATTTTTGTTTCTTTTTTTTAAATTTTATTTCAAACGATAAGTATTATTACTTAATGAAAAACAATAAATACTTTAAATTGCATGATGTATTTGCCATGATTTTTATTTTAAGTTCATGGCACACAAGATTGTATGCAATATATCACCATACATGGGTTAAAATCTTTATTTCAAACTTTATTTCAAAATAAAGTTAATATGAAATTCCAATTATCTTGATTTTTTTTTAAGGGTGAAGTTGGCCAGGAGGGTTCTCCTGGACCCACCTTACTGGTACAGCCACCTGATTCCTGCCTGTATAAAGGAGAAAAGGTAATTCCCAATCCATATGTGGCCTTGATCGAGTAGAAACAGTCAGTCTTTTCTGAACATGTACCCGTGCAAGCAAACTGCTGAGCGCCTACGGGCATCCATGTAGCAACCTTAGCAGGATGGCTACTGTTATTAACCCCATTGTACAGACTTCGAAAATGAGGCTTGGAAAAATTACTGGTGTTCTCAAGTTTATTCAGGTGCTGCATCACAGACCTAGTGTGGGCTGCTAAATTGTGACGTGTCCTCTGGAATATAGTGCCCCACTGATACTGTCTTGATACACTGGCCAAAAGGGCCTTTGGGTGTCCAGTTGTCCTTGAGATATTACATATGGGCTTGACGTTTTGATAATTGACAAGGCAACGAGTATGAAGAACTGGACACATAATAGACGCTTGGCAAATATCACTTCCTCCGTCAACCTGCGATGCCGAGGTTACAGATGCCACACACAGATTCTGTTGTCAGTTTTTAATGACTGGGTTAAATTTCACTGATGTGCTCAAAATGAGCCACTCCTCTCCATGGCTGCATTCCCAGCTTGCATCTGATGCCCCGGTCCCGTGGCGGTCATGTCCCCTGCGCCCCACGACACTGCACCTCTCACACAGAGCTGGTCTGAATAGTGGCAGGTTTAGAAGCGCCCCTGGACCTTACTTGCTCACTAGCGACCGTTGAAGAGTAATCCTTTATTTTGAAAATTAGTGAAATGGCTGTTGGAAGAGGTAATTTCTGAAAGAGATGGAATTCAGTATGTTTTAAATAATAAGAATAAGCCAGATAATAGTCATTGTGATTTTTAGGGCATAAAAGGAATGCCTGGTATAACCGGACCTCCAGGACCACCGGGACCCAAGGTAATTCATTGAAATAGCTTTTTTTATTTGCATGATATGCTATATTATTTAAATTTTTTTTGCATGGGTCTTTATCATTGCTGTAAATGCTAATGTACATTACTAGAAGTTTTCACTATTTTATCATAATCTTGTAGGACATCTATCCTAACGTACTTGTTTCCTTTAAGCCACTGACAATAATTTTTAAATCTCATTTTGCTTTTGAATGCCATGTTGCTGAAATATTGCTGCTTGAATGCCTCTGAATGTTGTCATGTCTTGAAGGGAGAACCTGGATTTGGGGCCAAAGGAGAGAAGGGGATCCCTGGGTTCTCAGGACCTCGGGTAAGGCTTGTCCACGCCATCCCTGCTGCCCCTAATGTCAGTGAGTTGGCTTTCTCTGGAATCTTTTTACAAAACTAGATCAGTATTTCTAAGAACTCAAAAGAGGAGGTTTTCTCAAACAGGAACGATGTATTTTGGGGAAGAATGATGTAATAGCGACGTGTCCCAACAAAACATCCCTTCCGTTGACATCATTTAGATAAACCAGGCAAGCAGGAGATAGAATTGGTGGGAAGGAACAAGATGGTGGCATTTCCTGTGTGGTTCAATGCCCGTGTGAATAGCAGCTTGGAACTGTTCGTTAAAGCCTATTTGATAAACGAGGGTACTGATCTATGGGCAGTAGCTACAAAAAAAATATAGCATCAGCCCTCAAGCATCACTACCCATGCCACCAATGGGATAAACACTGATGGAGTTACTGTGGGAGCCAGATCCCCTGTGGGCAAGGGCATTGAGCTTATCTGGTCCCAGACTCCATAGCTAATGGGACAACATTGGCTTCCATGATAATTTTTATTGCTGATAATGCACAGAATACCTATTAATCTCTAGACAAATTATATTACAATGATTCCAAAGAAATTTAGCCCAGAGCAAGCATTAGACTAAGTAAGTTAAAACACAATAACAACAACAAAAATATGTTCTAAATTTAAGACACTGACAAGGACATGCATTTTTAAAATTTTTTAAATTTTTTTTATTTTTTCCTTAAATAGTTTATTGTCAGGTTGGTTTACATATAACACCCAGTGCTCATCCCAACAAGGACATGCATTTTTAAAATAAAATTAAAGATCAGTTAAAATAGCAAATGTTATAAAGAAACAATCTATTTTATACATATTTCCTTTTATTTGGCTACCTTTGGAGACAAGATTGAATGTCCGTAAAGCAGTTTCATAAGGTGAGAAATAATGCATTGAACTAGTTCGATCACTTTGATTTAATTCTGCTTGTGTTGATTTTTGTGAATTTATTAGGGTGATCCTGGTTCCTATGGATTGCCAGGTTTTCCAGGATTAAAGGTAAATGTACACAATTATAGAGATGATAAGTACATTTCCATTCATAAATATGTTTCAGTGTTATTCAGAAGTTGTATTAGGGCATGTAAGTATGTACTCAGTAATTGGAAAAGGAGACACATTTATTTTATGAACTGCATGATCTAGCTGGAGGTGTAAAACCTAACTTCCAAAACTATCTGAAGCAATCGAAAAGCGGTGTTAAGACTGCACAGAATCTCAGTGAGCATGTGTCGTCCAGATTAAACAAGAGTGAGATAATTTGTCACCTAGTCACATTTTTTAAATTTATTAAAAAATTTTAGTGTTTATTTATTTTTGAGAGAGAGAGAGAGAGAAAGAGAAAGAAAGAGAGAGAGAGTGAGCAGGGGAGGGGCAGAGAGACAGAGGGAGACACAGAATCTGAAACAGGCTCCAGGCTCTGAGCTGTCAGCACAGAGCCCGACGTGGGGCTCAAACTCATGAATCGTGAGATCATGACCTGAGCCAAAGTCAGACATTTAATCTACTGAGCCACCCAGGTGCCCCTCATATTTTTTTTTTTTTAAAAAGGCATGTTTGTGGTTATTTGTAGGGGGAACCAGGACTGTTTGGAGATCCTGGATCATTTGGATTTCTTGGCCCAAAGGTAAAAAAAAACAAAAAAAAAAACACAGGCTTATTTGAGGATAACGTGATAAAATTCTATATCCCTTATGTTAACTAATTTAGTTTAAAAAAATATTTGAAAGAATCATTGAGAAACATAACTTTGGAAAGTGACAGAGTTAATTGTGTATATATATTTTTCAACACATGTTGTAAATGATTATATTTTACATTTGAGAAATGAACCTTTTGAAGGTGAATAATAATGAAAGTTTCAAAAATTCCATGGGGATCAGCTAGTATCCCAGTTAAAATAGAGGGAGTTGTGGAGAGCTCTCTGCTTTCACCACTGCATTTTTTCTTTTCTTTGCACCTCTGTGACTCACATCCAGCACTGCTCAGGACAAGCATAAGGGAGCCCCAGTATTTGCTGTTCAGATAAGATGTAGATTCAGATTTTATAGGTGAATAGACTATTTATCCCCCAGAGTGCCAAGTTCGACGTGAATGCTCATAATATATCTAAGAAACTTCCTGGTTTCAGAGGTATCTAACTTATGGGCATGAAAAAAAATTTTTGGAGTTATTTTTTTTCCTTTTGTGAGAGTTTTGCCTGTAGGTCACTTCCTTCTGCTTGTAGGTAGAGGTTGGTGCTTTTGTTATTCCCAGAGCTCTATGCTCCATTCTTTTTCTGGTCAGCCCATAAGCTTAATTTCTCATATGAAGGCACTCTTGGTCCCTCTAAGATTTAGTTACAGGCGACATGAGAAAAATATTAATATTTCTAAGAAAAGCATATGAATGACTGATTTCAGGGGGACCCTGGAGATCGCGGGTACCCAGGACCACCGGGTGTTTTGGTAACTCCATCTCTTCCACTCAAAGGTTTGTGTTTAGCTTGGTTCCACCATAAGTTATTAGGAAATGGGATTTGAGTGGCCCTGACAGAAGGGTCTGGCTCAGTATTTTTGTATTTGGCACGCTTGGCATGGTAAATCCATTGATTTTAGCAAGAATATGTAATTTACAAGAGCAGGTCAACAAGTCCATCTGGGCCATCTCTGTTAGCATAAGACTCCAAATATTATTTTTTAGTATGTCACCTTTCCAATTTTAATCGCTAAAATATGTTTCCAAACCATCTAAGACCTACCAAGATGCTCCCTCCAAGAAAAAAGTGACCCATGTCAGTGAGAAAGATGGTGCTGCTCAAAGTTCATGTGTTTGCAGAGAAGGGATCTAAGATTCTGCATTTTTTAAAATGTTTTATTTATTTCTAGGAGAGAGAGAGAGAGACAGCGTGAGCAGGGGAGGGTCAGAGAGAGAGGGAGTCACAGACTCTGAAACAGGCTCCAGGCTCTGAGCTGGCAGTCAGCACAGAGCCCGACGCAGGGCTTGAACCCACGAACCACGAGATCATGACCTAAGTGAAAGTCGGACGCTTAACCGACTAAGCCACCCAGGCACCCCAAGATTCTGCATTTTTTAAAGTTTATTTATTTATTTTGAGAGAGAGAGAGAGCTTAAGCACAAGCCTGAGTGGAGGAGGGGCAGAGAGAGATGGAGAGAGAGAGAATCCCAAGCAGGCTCCGCACAATCAGCATGGAGCGCAACACGGGGCTCGATCTCATGAACTGTGAGATCATGACCTGAATCAAAATCGAGAGTCGGATCCTCAATCGACTGAGCCCCTCAAACATTCCTAAGACCCTGCATTTCTAAATGTGGCAAGAAGTTGCAAGAAGAATCTTTTAGTTATACTCAACCAAGTCTCATGATAAGTAATCATGTGTGAATTTTAAAATGCATATATACGTTTATTACATTGACACATGTTGTTGTTTTGGGCAGGCCCCCCTGGGGATCCGGGGCATCCTGGCCGCCACGGAGAAACGGGGTCTATTGGACCACCCGGTCCACCTGGTCCGTCAGGACCGCCAGGGGAATCCTGTGCAGGTAGAAATCCACCGGCCTTTGCATGCCTACATCCTCATCCTCACTGGAGGTCCTCAACTCTAACTGACACTGAGGCCAACTAGGAGCATCTCAACTGATGGCCAGCCCAACCCAGATCAAGAATGTTGGTCACTCTGGAGCATGGACTACGCATCTGCCATTATAAAGTCACCTCTTATTTCTAATGTACAGCATGGCTTAAGAACCACTGAACTCACACCAATTAATGGCTTACTTGGAAGAAATCCAGGTTCTTTGGCTGTACTTTAGAAATAGTCAGCATCTTGAGGGTGTGGTGAGGACTCTGTGTGTATACGAGGCATCCCGCAAGATTGTCACAGGCAAATAAGATTTGGAAACCGGTTCGAGGCTCAAAGTGCTTTTTCAGTCTTTCCATCCTCTTCGAAAGGCTCTCCCTGTTGACATCTATTCGTTAAAATCAAGTTCCTCTTCATGAAAGATGGAAACACAAATTATGAATTAAAAGATAAAACTGTGATTCAGCCTTTGTTTAAAAACCAAAACCAAAACAACAGTCCTCACCTCCTCCTCAAATCGTTAGCCCCTCCAAAACAAAACAAAGAAAACAAAACCTTACAGCTCATGGTAATAGTTGGGGACGTGCCCAGAAAAGAATCCTATTGATATAGGACTTTGAACTCCTTCAAGTGTGGTGCTGGTTAATATTCCCAAGTAAGATTAGGAATAGAAGTGTAGAGGAGATTTTCATTCTGGGAACTCAGGAGAACTCATTAAATGTGCAAGGAGAAAGTCTTGAAAAGATGTAATTTTACCTAGTCCATGTCTCTTGTTATATTTGCTGAGAAGGAGCGAGAAGTTTCCTGACATTCATCTGTTAACTACAAAGTTCTCTAATCTTCTACGAATCTAGTTTCTACTTTGTAGGATCTGATAACCTTAAAGGTAGCTAAGTTGTGTTCAGTTAATTTAATCTGTAGATACCATAGTCTTGGCTTCATTGACCCCAGACTATATAAGTCGTGTAGAGATTACTCAGTTGGTCAGGAATTATTAGCCTCTGGTCTTAGATTTCTTCTTTGGGGCTTATTGATAATGGTATAGTAGCCCTAACAGATTGAAATCAAAACCCAGTGGGAGTAAGCAACACATCTCTCTAGAAGATTGAAAGCTGAATATAACAGAAAGGCTCTTAATTCCACAAGATTTTTAAAAAAGAATTAACCCCAGTGGCTTTCAAGTCTTGACTACAATCTATTATAAAAAAATATATTTTGTATTATATTGCATTTACATTACATTGAACAATATATGTATCCATATATATGATTAAAACACAAATTTCACAAGATAAATACCTTTTTGGACATGATGTATTCCATTTTCTATGCCACTCTTTTGTTTTGAAAAAAAATTTTTAAATGCTAGCCACAACTTCGTGCTACAGGTCTGTCCAGTGACCATGGAGGCTTGGAGACAAGTCCTAGGAATGACATGAAGCCAAGCTGACAGCCATGTCCACAGGGGCACATTTCATTTAAGTACACCAATATTCATAGTCTTTGCTATACATATCCTATTTTATAATCATCTAAAATATTTACCATGAGATAAGCAGGATTTTGGAGTCAGATACCTGTGACTGAGTCCCAGCCTTGCCACTTAGTGTCGTGGCAACTATCTGAGATAGTTATGTGTTTACACTGTGGACTAAAAACATTCCAGGTTCTACTGCATACAAGCTGTGTGATCTTAAGCATTTAACTAAACCTCTCTGTGCCTCAGTTTTCTCACCTTTAGAGTGCAGTTCTTGTTAGGGTTGAAGGAAGTAATGCATATACAGTTCTTAGAATGCCATTAGCCACGTTGGCTATTATGGGTCTAAATTTCTGTGCCTTATTTATAAGGCACAAACTTTGCAAGATTGTTTGAGTAGTAAGGATAATGTTTGAAAATATATGCAAAGCCCCAGCATATATGCACACAGTAATGAATGCCACTAATTTAGCTACCGTGCTACTTACTGATTACTGACAGAGTTTCTGTTGTCTTTTGCTGAATGAATTACCCAAAACCTAGTGGCTTAAAACAACAATCAGTATATTACACCTCGCTCTGTGGCTCAAGAATTCAGGAAGGACTAAGCTGAGCAATTCTAGATTGGGATGTTCATAGCCGTCCTTTGGCTGCTACGGGCCCATGAGGACTGCCTGGACATCTCTGTCCTCTGTCTTTGCTATAGTTTCATGGCCTTCTGTCTGGCTCTGTGCTTATTTAGGCTTCCTGATAGCATGGTGGCGTCAGAGCAGTGATATGGCTTCTATGGTGGCTCAGGATTCCAACCCCAAGCATTTCAGCTCACAACGCAGAAGCTGAATCATCTTTAATTACCTAGCCATGGTTTTTATATACAGTGTCACTCCTGCTGTATGTTGTTAGTCCAGATAATCATAAGAGACCATCACATTCAAGGGGAGAAGAACAAGAGTGTGAGGGGATGAGAGCTACCATGGCAGCCATCTTTGGAAACTCTAATCTTCCACAGAGAGATTCATGCTCGGGAAGAAGACGCTATGAGAAATGGTCACTCTCACAGGAAGGCTGGCAGCCATGTTTAGCCAAAGCCCCCAGGAAGGGAGGCAGATGTCATGAGAAACTAGGATTTAGCTTTTACTCACTTTGACCCCTGAGCACACTGAACATCTCAATATCCGTTGAGTGTGTGCAATCACCAGGTATTTATTGCACTAAGATCTTTACATGAATTATTTTATTTAATCCTCATAACAAACCTCTGAGTAGATACAGATGATTAAAGAAGTTCAGTAACTTACTTAAGTACATGTGGCTGGAGAGAGAGAGATCTATTCCTTCCCCCAACCTAGCTTGTTATGAAAGGTATGGTATGTTATGGAGATGATATGTGAGTCCTTTTTTTTATTCACTACATGTGCTAATATGTTCATCCAGATAATTTTTAACCAAATTATTAAAGTGGAAAGATTGAAAAATAATTCTGATTAAATTATGTATATATATATATATATTTTTTTTTTCTAATAACCCTAAATAACAGGGAAAAAGTAAGAAAATCTGATTCCTCAAAATTTTCACTCATGGGCTTATTTCAAAGAAGGTGAGGTCTCCTTAAGGCTGGGACATCAAGTTAATTTTGAAGCATATTTTTTTTCCTTTAAAAATGTTTATAGTCTAAAGAAGAATGTACTGATTTTGATTTCTTCTAAAAAAATAAAAAGTTGACTCAGAGATTACATGTGCTTTTCATTCTCAATTTCTCTTGGAGGCATGATGGGACCCCCTGGGCCAAGAGGGTTTCCGGGTCATCCAGGATTTCCAGGGGCAGCCGGTGTCCCGGGGAGAGCTGAGGCCACTCCAGGGAAACCAGGGGACCCGGGACCACCTGGGTTGCCCGGAGCTCCAGGACTGCAGGGCCCTCCGGGATCTGATGGTAAAGTGCACCTTCTCCACGTTCATTGGCGTTTATGTTGCATGTGGCATCTGCGGTGTCCTTCATAAAATGTGACTTTCGAAATATTTTTTAACATGATCTAATATGTCATGAGCCAAGTTAGTATGATTAATAATACAAAAAAGGTAGACTGATGTTGGATATCACATCAGCTAAAGCGTATGAAAATATTTGGTTGAGGATTTAAGAGTGAATGGCAGAGTTTTGTGAATTACTACAATTTAATTTTTTTAAATGTAGTTTTAACTTTTATCAGAGTTATAGAGTTAGATTAGGAGTCAGACAGTTCTATGAAGCCCGTTGTGAAGAATTGCTGTCCCAGGCGACCCCTTCTGTTCCTTCCTCCCCAGGAGCAATTATCTTGGCACAAGTCATTGGAATCTTTTTTTATTTGCCTTTCTAGTGCCCTTCAATGTACTTGTATGGCTATTTCCTTATTTTTATTTATTTTTTTAAAATTTTTTAATGTTTGATTCATTTCTAGGAGAGAGAGAGAGAGAGACAGCGTGAGCAGGGGAGGGTCAGAGAGAGAGGGAGTCACAGACTCTGAAACAGTCTCCAGGCTCTGAGCTGGCAGTCAGCACAGAGCCCGACGCGGGGCTCAAACCCACGAACCGCGAGATCATGACCTAAGCGAAAGTTGGACACTCAACCGACTAAGCCACCCAGACGCCCCCCTATTTTTATTTTTAATGTTTATTTATTTTTGAGAGGGGGAGAGAGAGAGAGGGAGACACAGAATCTGAAACAGGCTCTGCTCTCCAAGCTGTCAACACAGAGCCCAAGGGCAGATCATGGCTTGAGCCATAGTCGGACATTTAACTGACTGAGCCACCCATGCGCTCCCTTGTATTGCTATTTCTAAATTCTTGACTTCAAGCTTTATCTTTTGACTTCCTTCCATAGAAGATGAAATTAGCTCTTTCAGCCCCTCCTCACCACACATATGCACATTTTCTACTCCCAAAGCCTATTCAATATAGTTATTATCTTAAGTTTGACTACAAAAAGTGTTCAGTGATTGCACTGAATGGTTATATAAATGCTGCTCACCAGGCCAGCCATATAATAATATATGTTACTACTTTTCCAGCATACCATTTTGTTAACAGGAGCCTGGTTTTCTTTGTGTGTTTCCTTGGTTTTCAGTATACTTACTGAGAATTTAACCTCAAACTGTCAAGAATTGTATAAATCTCCATTCCAACTCATTAAATATTTTGTCAGTATTATCTCTTTGAGTAAATCTCTCCTGGAGCATCTTAACCTGTTCAAATTAGGTCCCATGACAATTTTAAGCTGTCTCAGACACTGTCTCAAAATCTTCCTTTACCATTATCCTGGGATTTCTTTCTTTCTCTTTTTCTCTGGCTCTTTATCTGTTTCTGTCTGCTTCTCCCTCTCTCTGGGTCCCCTTGTTACCTACAACTCACATATCTCTATCATACTTATGTCTCATATATCCATCATCATACGTCCTGAGAAAAAGTATACTTTACCTGTCTCAAAATGCCTTTATTCTACTGGGGAATTTGCTTGATAGTTTGGCTTAATATAAAATTATAGATTGGAAATATATTTTTCTAGGCATTTTCCATTGTTTTCTAGAGTTGTTACTAAGAAGACCAATGACATTTAGTTTCTTGATCCTTTGAAATCTGTTTTCTGCTCTGAAATCTTACAGAATTTTTCTTTTTTCCCAATGACCTTAAATTTCACAATGACTTGCCTCTGTGTGGGAACATCTGCATTTATTTGTAGGTGCTCAGTGAGCAAGTCCAAGGCAAGACAAACCCTCCATTTCTGGAAAAATTTCTTGAGATGTTTCTCTGAAGATAATTTTTCCTCCATTTTCCCCTTCCCCACTCTAAAGTTATATATTGCAGTGCTGGGCACCCTGGACCACAAGGAATAAAAGGCAAAGCGGGTCCTCCAGGAAGAAGAGGCTCAAAAGGAGAAAAAGGCAAGTATGCATCAAAGGTAGGATTGCCTGAAGACAGTAGCATTTGGGGGATTGGAGGCATTGATGAAGCGGGTAGTGGAGCATTTCACTTCGATGTGATGCACACCTTAGTTACCCCCTTGAGTGCACCTCTTCATTATGTGCTTCTGATGTGACTAGAACTTAGCAAAAGTCAAGTCTTTGTACCTGAGAGCCTAAAGGAGAGACTTGCCTGGTGTGAAATCACCTCAGAGTAGGGACCATTTTCATGAGGTGCTTTTTCTTCCTTGAAAGAAGCAGAGATGGGAAAGTATCGATCCTTTATTTCACTTCCTCTCTGTGGGTCCATATTTCCCAGCATCATCGAATGCTTATTCCTCAGTATTTCTCTACTTTAAATTGTTTGGTGCCTTTTTGACCATCTGGAACAGGTGGGCATGAGAGCATAGACACAGCTGAGTTTAACTGTCCAAAAGGCTTTTTTAGACTAAAAATCCTGATGATTACAAAATGCATTGTAGTGAATTATCAGCTGTAATATGCAATGCAGTCAGGAATCGTTTTTCACATATTATTTTGTTTCTTTATTTGTTTAGAGTTTAGACTCTAACCCAATTTATTTTTCGTTTCGTCAGCAGGAAATAAAAGACTTTCAAACTTTTAAAAATAAGATTCCTTATTTTTAAAGTTCCTTCAGTAAAAGTGGATATCAGTTTATCAGAATGAGTTTATTAAGTCCCAAGACACCCCATGTGTCTAGAAATGGTATATCTGACCCACATAGAGCATGCCTAGGTACTGCTACACCGGGCCCCTTCCCCCCCATCACACATGATCAGTTATGGGAGATAAGAACCATGAACATCAGACCCTTTTTCTTATTTTCATTCTTGGTTTTGTTTAGTAAAGGCTTTTGGAGATTTTATGCAGGAAATATGACAAAGCTGCCTTTTATCCTCTGTCTAGGAGACGCAGGGCTCTGTGCCTGTGAGCCTGGCCCCATGGGCCCACCAGGCCCTCCGGGACTTCCTGGGAGGCAGGGTAGTAAGGGAGACTTGGGGCTCCCTGGGTGGCTTGGAGAGAAAGGTCATCCAGGCCCTCCGGGTGCTGAAGGATCTCCAGGACCACCAGTGAGTAGCTTTTACCAGTAACAATCATTCTCATTAAAAGGGACAGAGATAAAATTCAACTGTAGCTCTGATTTATAGTGTGATAAATATTTTATATTTTGAACCTACATATATTAATGACCAAAAAGAAATCTACAATCATTCAACTAATATTTGTTGAGCACCTACTATGTTTCAGGTGCCGTTCTAGGTGTGGGGGACACTGAAGAGAGCACGACAGAGTCTGTGCCCTCCCGGGGACTCCTGGGATTGGGAGGGACACATGCCATGTAGCAAATAGATGAGTACGTGTGGCTGATGATAAAGGCCATCACCATCTAGTGTGGCTTGAGGGGCAGAGCTGAGGAGATGAAGTCAGAGAAGTGGCTGGAGGTTATGTGGGGCGGTGGGGCATGGGGCTTGGTGGGTGGGTTGGGTTTGGGCTTTTATTCTGGATGACATGGAACAGCCAATGAAAAGTTTAAAGGAGGGAGAGACATGATGCTCTATGGCTGACATTAGCTTCGAATGGCTCACTCTGGTAAGCCAGACAGCAGGGGACAAGGGAAGCATGAGGGAGATGAGCTGCAGGAGTCCTGGTGAAATATGATGGTAGATGAATTAGCACATTGGTGCTGGGTGTGACGAGAAGTGATCGGATTCTCACTATGTTTTGAGATTAGTGCTAGTAGATTGGCTGTTAGGCTGGACATGGGCTCTTAGAAGGAGGAAAGTAAAGGATAAGACCGAATGGGTAAGACAATGTGAGGAGTAGGTGTAGAGTAGCAGAAAGGAAGTAGTGTCATTGGGACCATCTTAAATTTGAGGTGCCGATCAGACACGCAAGGCAAGGTGTTGAAGGGTAGCGAGATGGTATTCAAGTGAGGGATTCAGATGAGAGGTCCAAGCCGCAGATTGGCTTTGTCAGGGTTTATGTGATCCTCTGTGCCACACGGTAGATCTGTTTTGAAAGCCTTCTCATCTGCTGACCATTACAAGTGACTCAAGTTGAGGCACAGCCATTTGGCAACTTGATTCCTCAGAATAAACTCACTGGCCCTAAGGGCATTACTCTAGAGGCTAGACACAGCCTGCCTGTCTCCTCTTTATGGAAGAGCCTTAATCCTGGGGTGATCTGGAGGCTAACCATCAGCCCCAATGTACTCTTCCATTTTCCCCAGCACATGCCATGAAAATAAGGTTCCAGTCTGAAAGCTTTAAGCAAGGGTGACAGTTAGGCTCTCTCTCGGTACCACCCTCAACACACCTTGCAAAACACACTCGCAAAGTCTGCTTGACAGGAAGCTAACCCCCTAACATGTATATGTTGAATGAACACAGCTGCAGCTGTTAAGTACTTTACATTTTATAGTCTGCTTTTATAATTTGGCATTTGAGCATAGTCATTTTTTTATAGTGGAACCTTCATTAAGAAGATGATACTGGCTCTAAAATATTTTGGTGGCTTTCTCTTGAGTTGTTTCTCAGGGCTGGCATCTTTCAGTATGAACTGTGAGTTCCCCCAGAGTTGTGCTGGCTGGGCTTTATGTCATCCAGTTGCTGTAGGGCTTACCTCTTTGGACACATTATATTTCTGATGTCTTTTTTCCATTCATGATCCTGTCCGTATGACTTCTCTGCATTAAGTTCATCACAGCGTGGTCACAGCTGGGGACTAGGTCCATATACCATGAGGCATTGTGAGAGGAAAGGGGTTGGGGGCGGAGACTGGATACACAGAGCACAGAGGAACCGCAGACAATCACTGTGGGTGCTCTCACTTTATCAGACACGTCCTATCTCAGCAACTGGTCTGGCCCCAGCAGCCACAGAGTGGTAGGCTTCTTTGCAATTTTTTCTGTGGTTAGAACAAAGCTTTGTATTTATCACCATAGTCTGAGGTTGGGGGTTTCCGACCGAGATGCTGTCATGCAAGGCATGGGGACTTGGAGGCACGTGGACCCACCTTCAAATCCCAGCTATGACATTGGCGAGCTCTACAGTCTTCCTGAGCCTCAGGAAGACCTCATTTATAAAATGGATATAACAACACCTGTCTTACAGGTTTGTTGGTGAGAATTCAGCCCAGCAGCATATTCTGAGGGCTGTGAGGTGTACACCAGTGAACAAGCAAGGTCACTGCCCCTGATGACTTGCAGAGCAAACCAAAGGTCACTGACTTGACATGGGCGAATCTGACCTACTGGCCTGTTTGGTTTTGTCTTCCTAGTGTTTGATTTTGTATTATTATTAAGATTTATGGCAGCCCTTGAGAAATTGGAAGTTCATTAACACAGGGTCAGTGCATTCCCACAGTTTCCAGGAGCTGAGAGGTGGCCATGCCTGTGGGAGAGGACTGGGTGCTCCTGGCTCCACACTGTCCATCCATCTGCTTCTCTTGGTAGGCATGGCCCCTGTGGGCATCTGCGGCTCAGATCCCTGATCTAGACCATGTTTTAAACCACTGGTACGTGGCTGGCAGAGAGGAACTTTTTTGTTACTGCTGAGACTTTGTTGTTATATGAACACATGTATTCAATGATCTTAGGTCTTGTAATAATGACACGTAGCCCTTGATCCCAAAGCTGCTGGGAACCTTTGCCGTAAGAATCTCTTGGATTCAACATTTGTTTCACTAAGAATCTAAGCACCATGAAGGCAAGATGGTCTCCTGTTAACTGTTGTGTCCTTGCTACTCTGAGTGCTCCCTGGCCCTTTGTTGATCCTCAGTGAATGTCTTTCTAGTGAAATCCAAAACCATTGCTGGTTGTCTAATTTTTTTTTCTCACTAGCTCAGCTGTGTCTGTGATCTGACTCTAGTGCTGACAATTCTATATCTGCAGAGCATTAGAGCGATTTATAGTACATTCTGTGTCTCCAGTGGCTAACTAACAAGCTGCTCAGATTCCCAGGGCACCAAGGTCTTATTTATTAAGCATTCCACAGGCATTCTCCTTCTGGGGAGAAACTGGTTCACGTGCTCAGTGAATGGTTTTATGTGTTGATAGTTTGTCCATCGGAAGAGTGTTTTCATTATTTGCCTCTGTGTCTCATATACTTTGGCCCTGTCATGTTGTCACTTATGACTTAGCATATACAGGAAAAATAAGAATTTAAGCAACACTCAACCCTTATTAGCACTTTGTGATTTCTTAAGTTCCTTTCCTGTCTAATCCAGCTCTTTCTACTAAGAAATTTGTTCCACCCACCTTTTTGATATCATGTAGACATCGTTACCCAGGATGCTATACTACAGGGATGCCCCTGGGTGGGGGTTGGGGTATTGAGTAGGTGTGTGGAGCTGGTTTTTCTCTACATCAGATGGCTCCCAAGCATTTTTGCCCTTTGGGTTTTCATGTCTGTTATGTATGGTTTGGCTTCTTCATTCTTGCTGCTTAGTGCTGCCATTGTGCTGATCTCTACTGCTCCCTTCTTCAACTCTTAGTAGTTAACTGCTTATAACGTGTCAGTTAAGCAGGTTAAGCCTGCATAAACTTGTTAGATTGTATGAAAATAAGGCAAGGTGGCATCTGTGTGGGAAAAGTAAATGGTCTTCTCAGTCATTTTTACCTCCGTCTAAATTCTTATTTGTGTTTCTTGACTTTCAAGGTCATCCAGTAAGTAAACTTGAGCTATATATATAGTGTTTCTGTAGCTGTATTTACTATGATGCTTGGCCACTCTAATATGCTGATGATAGGTTTCCAGATTTTTGACACGGCTTAATATTCACTAATATGTAACGCTTATAAAACCATGACCCAAACAGTGAGTCTCAGAGCAATGCTGAGGTCAAAAGACAGCCAAAATCGGCTGTTTACTTGCTATATAGAAGAAATATATCAACAGTAACCAAGGTTCTTATTCCCCTTCCTCTTGCCCATCAGTTTCCCTCAATATCACACACTTTTCCCTAAACCTCTGCCTTGAGCTTTAGTCGCAGCTGTTGTGGTTAACCTACCTTCCTCTTTCCTCCTCATTCTATTAATATGCCCAAGACAGTTAAAAATTTTAATTATATATTTTTATTTTGAGGTTAGTTTTATGTCATGACTCAAAGAAGTTGCACAATCATGCAGGGAGTTCCCATGGACCCTTCACCCAGTATCCCCCGTGATGGTGTGCATAACCATAGTACATTGCCCAAACCAGGAAATTGATAATGATAGCCACTTCTGTTGAATCTGGTACAGACCATCCCACAAGCTTTTAAATGCAGGTCAAGAGCCTCAGTTTTATAAGGTGGAACCCACCTTAGAAGGCAAGGAAGAGAATGATACCAAGAGCACCACACCAGAATCTGGAACACGTGATTCAGAAGGAAAGAAGAGAGAGATTAGATTAGGTGAATAGCTTTGACCCACTGAACTTACACTGATTTGTGCCTTTTGTTTCTCACCAAGGGAAAACCCGGTGCTGCAGGGCCACCTGGCAGTAAAGGAGAAAAGGGTGACCTGGTTGTATCAAGAGTGAAAGGTAAGCCTAGTCAATCACTTAGCTCCCTGCCATTTTGATGAATGATATATGAACCTTGCATTCATTTCCCTTGTGACCACAGATCACTTCTATAACAAGACACAGGACTGTTCAAATTGCTTACAGAAATATTCCTTGCTTGGGGCCCCTGGGTGGCTCAGTTCATTGAGTGACCAACTCTTGATTTTGGCTCAGGTCATGATTCCGGGGTTGTGGGATTGAGCCCCACATCAGGCTCTGCACTGAGCCTGGAATCTGCTTAAGATTCTCTGTCTCTCTCTCCCTGTGCCCCTCTACCCCGCTTGTGCTCTCTCTCTCTCTAAAATAAAAATAATATTCTTTGACCTTCACAGAGCTGTGAGAATGTGGAACCTCAGCTCCCCTATCTCTGATTTGAAAACGTAAATGCTCCTTTAGCCACATATTTAAATCCTCATTCTTGTGAACTTGGATTTGACACAAGACCTCCTTTGACTTGCCTACTGTTTTTTCAGTGCATTATGGCATCCTGTATTAATCAAGACTGTTTTGGTCATGACAGAAACTCAGCTTGAGGTAGTTTTAGAAAACAAAGTAATTTATTGACTCAGCCAAACAAAATTCAAAATGGTAAACGTCGTCTCCCGGGACAGCTGAGTCCAGGAGACTGCACCATCTGCACTTCTCCCCAAGACTAGCTTTCCCTGGGCTGTGGGTAGACTGCCCTTCCTCGCGGAAGCTCTAAGTTCTTACCAAAAGAAAGAGAGCTAGCTCTACCTTCTCAGCTCCAGTTTGAAAAAAAAAATTCTGGAAAGATTGGACTAGACTGGGGCAAGTGGACAGCCATGGACTGCTCCCCCTTCACCATCGCCAGGGGATGGAGCACCATGTTTGGTACCACACACGCAGTGGTGATGTGATCGGCGCCTCCTGACACAACCTCCTTGGGGGGCGCTTCCCAAATAAGAGATTCCATGCATTTGGCTGTTGTCATTCTCCCCTCTGACTTTCATGTGGTTGTCTTTACGTGACTTAGTCAACAGAGACACTCAGAGGAGTCTCTACCGGCCCACACGGAGGCAAGATCATTGCTTTTACCTTTTGTCCTGTTTTCCTTCTACTTCACCCAACTGCTGAGAAGGGCTTGAATATCTGTTGGCCTTTATTCCCAGGGCAGAAAGGAGAAAGGGGTCCTGACGGGCTCCCAGGATTTCCAGGGCAACAGGGACAACATGGCCGTGATGGACTTCCTGGAAGAAGGGGGGAACCAGGACCCCCGGTATGTATGTGTGATTCTTCTTTGGCTGTAGAGTTTCGTTTTCTTACGTGATCACAGAGCATCTGTTTCCCCTTCCCAATTTAAAAGTGTGATTCAGTGCAGTGTCATGGACTGTGAATCAGAGTCACCTTCCATTGACTGCTAGAAAAAGATGATTGTTACAAAAGGTGTGGCATAGTCGCAGATGGGCTGAAATCCTGAGTGACAGTTGCATCACGGTGCGATTTTCTGTCCCGTCTTTGGTCTTAGTGTCATTCTCATGGTGTTTGTCCGCTTCTGGGGCGCTTGTATCTACAAAGCCACCAGTGTTGGCAGGCTGATCCATCAACTCTGTAGGGCGGAGCATAGAACATAGGTTCCGATAATGACCTTGGCTTCTGTCCCTAGGTGACGAAGCGCATGAGGGGAAGTGGCAAGCAAGAGAGGGGGAACTAGTGCAAATCCACTGAATTGACGTATTAGTTGATGGGAAACCCCACTGACAAATGGTATTTTTGCATTTTTCAAACACGTTTTGGGTGGAGACCATGTGAAGGTAATAGAGGTCATAAGAAAAGACTATGAGACATGATCTTATGCTTAGGAACTTAAAGTGTCTTGGGTACATGAGGCATGTTTGGATGCCGACATTATGTTTCACTCACATCATTCATTTTCTTTTTTTTAAAGTTTATTTATTCTGATAGAGGCAGAGACAGCGAGAGCTGAGCGGGGAGGGAGAGAGAGAGAGAGAGAGAGAGAGAGAGAGAGAGAGAGAG